CGGCCGCTCCACGTGGGCCCACGCCGCATCGGACCCCGGACCTCGCTGCCCTGGCCCCGGCCCCTCCTCCCCCGAGCTCTTCTTTCGGATCCAGACCACCTGTCTGCCCCTCAAGCCACCTCTCTCCATTTCTCTTCACCTTCGATTTGCATTTTCCACCCTCGGTGCGAATATTCGCCCAAAGCCCTTTCTTTGTTCGGGCAGCTTTTCTAGCGAGCCCCTGGCCACCTTGTTCTTTCACTCTTATCCTCGCGCTCGTCTCTTCTTTTGCCCTTTCTCCATTACTTTTTGCTTTACTCATCTCCTATACTTATCACTTCCCCTTCTTTCTGGCATCTCTTCGCCCTCCCACTTTAAACCTTCTTTAGTCCCACTCACCCCTCCCTTCTCTCTGAGCCTATTCCTCCCGGACCTTTTTCTTCCCTGCCTTTTCTTTTCCCCTTCTCTTTCCTCCTCTTCTCCTTATTCCCCCTCCCCCATCCTCATCTCCCTTCGCCTCCCTCCCCTTCCCCCACTCCTGCCTTAAAGCAGCCTGAGCACAGGCCCCAAGTTGGGCCTAGAAGAAAAAAAAAAAACAAAAAGTCTTTGAGGAATGGTCATCCTGAAGCTTCGGGAAGGGGACAAAGAGGATGGGCCTGGGTATTTGTTTGTATTAAAAGTGGGATTTGGCGCTGCGTTCTGCTTAACGTTTGGGGGACGTCCGCAGCTTCCGCTGGGGCAGAAGGTAAGGCGCTTGTGCTCGCTATGGCGCCGGCAGCACCAAGGACAGCGCCCAGGACGGCGAGCTGGAAGATTTGGCCGCCCTGGGGGCATGTCTGGTTAGGTTGGCGGGGTGTCCTACCCCCTTCTACCGGAGTAAATACAATTAAACCCAGTTTGTAGTGACTCTGTTTGAAGGAGCCAAGCTGGAATCGCACGCTAAGATTTCTCTGCAATGCAGAGTTGGCACAATGAACAGATTGCAGATTTTGAAAACAAATAGAATGAATTAAAGTCAGGTAACAGAGGTGATATACTTGTAGCCCAGTTTGACTTTTCTAACATGTGATGGATGCAGGAAATCAAGAGATACAGGGCCTGAATTTGAAGGTCAAATATTCCTTGGAAAGGGGAATTTGAAAACTGCTGAGATGAAAAGTCCAGGGAAATATAGTCTATGATAAGTTTGGACAAAAACAATTGCTTTGTCATCTTTCTGTTCTGTACTCCCTGGATGTGCCTGTGATGATTGAAAAGCATTTGAATTAATTTCAAATTAATTTAAAAGTTGCCAAACAGATTCACCACAACTTTGAAGAAAACCAGATATTTTTTTCCTCCACTTAGATGTTAATGGTTGATTTGGAATAGATTTTTTTTTACAAGTTTTTAAACGTGTTTATTTAAATAAGGAATCTACACAGACTTCCTACTGTCTGGTGCTCTGCTAATTGTTAAAGTGCCCCTTTATTTTGCATTGTGCTGTGGGGGTGATTCACGGTAAAAAAAAGTTCAGAGTACTGCAAGACAAAGTGAAGAGTAGAATGCCTGACTAATGACTGGATTTACTGGGGCCACAGGATCAAGTGGTTGCTTGTGAAATGCTTGCTATGGCTGAAAACAAACCGTTGCTCGTGAGAAGGAGAGACCCCAGACTTCAATATATGTATATTTATTTTGTCACAGCATGCTTTCTCTGCTCCTTGTTTTATTAAATGATGAGGTCACATCACTCAGTAAGTAATTAGAAAAGGCTTGAGTTTCTAGAGGTTTTTATTTTTATCTTTTTATAAGATCTCTTGGCCCTTTTGCATTTTAAAATAGAAGGGGTTAATTTAGGAAGTTACTTTTGGCTTATTAACATGAAACTGCAGCATTGCAGGCTCTGTGGGGGAAGGATGTTCTAGTTTGCTAAGAGATGGGTTATCTTTCAGGCAAGGAGAGTCCATATCTCAAGCTGTTGGGAGAGACAGGTGACAAGCAGAGTGAGGGGACTGACTTGGGAATATTGCAAAAAACAAGATTTTTTTGGTTTCAGATGGATAGTTTTTTTAAAAAAAAAGAAGGAAAGAAAATTCCCCTGCCCTTCAGTGAAGTACCGCCAATCTCCAGGTTGGACTCTGAAAGATGTTACAGATAAGACCAAGTGCTAATTATGCAGGCGTTATGCCTTCCTTACTTATTACTTTCTGCTTTTATTAAAAAGATAGAAAACCTTTGTTAGTTCCCTGTTGCACACACACTGAAAGCACTTTCTGCAGTGAGAGCAAATGGTTAACAGACAGGTTTCTGCTGTTAGTTTTTTTTTTTCAGGGCTTTGAAAATGAGATGACTCTGCAGAGAGACATTTACAAGGAAACGCATGTCTAACTTCACAATTAGCCTGTTTTGCCTTGTATCTAGGCTAGTTCAGAAACTGTTCAGCTTTCAACTGATAACCGAGGGAAGAAAGCGTTGCGTACAAACAAAATAATGGCCAACTACTCAGGCTAAATCCAGCTAGTGCCTCCAGCTTAAAACTGTAACTTCAATGTCACATGAAGTATTATTCAATCTGGCCATAAAAGAATAATGCAGAGAATTATAAAAGTCACCTTATTTAGGAAAAAAGTTCCCAGAGCTTAAAAAAATGATTGATCCAGTTCCACATTTAGCACGATGTTTTATTTTATGTTAGACTTTTCACTTTAATCACTCTTTCTGAAGGTGACTTGAAGGTTATGCTGGTCCATGAATTTAGTATATAAACTTTTTTTTTTTAAAAAAGCTAAAACATTCTTTATTCCCTCTTTGTTTCATAGTTTTGAAGAACATTTACTTCCCCAGTATTTTATGTAGAAAGAAATGAGATTTTGCATTTTTAAATTTTATTTTAATGACACTAGGGCTACAGAATCTTCTGAAAATATTAACAGGAGAGAAAATGAGCATGAGGATTTATCTAAAGTTACAGCACTGTTGAATCTGACTATGATACTTTTATAATTTATTCTAAATAAGGAAATTACATATAATTTAGATGTAAGACACTTCTAATAAAATTATCTCTGGGTTGTTGTACCGTAAGCTACAGTGTGTTTTGAATCAGTTTATTTCTGTAGGGAAATACAGAGCATGCTGTGTGTCCCTTCAGTAGGTAAAGTGCAGACGTTAACTCTGTAGTTGAGAGTGAGCTTTCGTGAGGTCTTATCTAGTGGTAACGGGGAAGGTAATCTTTGCATAGGGGATTTACTCTTTGGGCCAAACATAAGTTAGAAGAAAAGGAGTTGGGCATTTCTTCCTTCTTTCCATACTTTCTTACATTTTAAAGAATACTTTTCTGATACACAAAAATGCAAGGAGGATAAGGGAACTGGGCAGCAAGCAAGATGCTCCGGGTGGAAGACACCACTGTGCAATTGGTAGGCTGACTCTGCCGCAGGTTAGATGATCTATACCTTGTCCCAGCCTGCCGTGAGGTCTTGAGTCTGGTCCTTTTGCCTGGGATCTGATTCTAGAACTCACGAGAAGCAATTTTTATGAATTGTCCTTTGCTGATTGTGTAAGGGGTCGTTGATGTAGGAAGCTTGAGACTGAGTCCCCTGGAGTGGGAACATAAGGAAAATGAAAACGATGATACTTATTTCTACTTGAGCCTCAAGATGTCAAACTTTCAAAGCAGCTTTGAGTTTTGGTCTTTTATGATTTGAGATGTTGAAAGCAAAATAAAAATAATCCTCAGGGAGAAAGGCTGTTTCTTGCCAGGAAATTGGGACATATATATCCCTTCTGTCTTTAATTAAAACGAGTCCATCTGAACCACAGTGCCCTTTTCCTAATATTAAGCACTGGAATGGTGTTTCTTCCCCTTGCCAAATATTTTTATTCATTGAATATTGCCTCATATTTCTGCGAGTGACTGCTTTTTATGAAAAGTTAATTGAAGTGTTTACAAAATTAAAAGCATTTTATGTCATTATATTGTTCCAAATATAAGCTTGATCAGTTCTAAAATTCTATATCTGAAAATGTCATGGTTTAAGGGGGAAAGACTTGGCTTTTGGCTTTAACATAGCTCGCTGATTTCTTTTTGCTGTGTAATGCCTTCACCTCACCACCGGGAACCAGTTCTGTGAAAACCAGAGGATGGGAGGACTTAGAATTTTTTTAAACTATTTAAGATAGCCTTGCTAAAAGTGATTCTAAAAATAAGTTCAGTAGATGCGTAATCAAATGGCATTGTTGCATGAGTTTTCAGCATGTTTTTAATTGGATGTGTTGGTTTTACCTATAAAGCAGCAGATCTTGATAATATGCACTTGAATTTTTAAAACCCTGCATTGCACATAACTTTGCACCAGGGCAGCCATGTAGTATTTGTGGCATATTTTTTTTCCTAGCTAACTGAGGCTTGACTTAGCAAGAGATGAAAGTCTTTTATCAGAAACTCTTAATTAAAATGAGCTTTCTAAAAACTACAGAGCACATCAATGATCTATTATCTTTGGAAAAAATTTCTGAGAAGAGCTAAAGCCAAGATACAAAACAAAGTCCAGAAGAAGTCCCACCTATCGATTAAGTCTCATTATCTCAGGACTGGGTTCTTTCTCTGCAATCTCAGTGATTCTCAAAAGCAGTATCTTTCACTGTCCTCAGCAAACAGACTCTGTTCATAGCTGTT